AAGTAAAAAAGCTCATTAAAGAACATCAACCAAGTAATACAAACTCGAAGTTACTAGAACTTTTGCTTTATGTAAGCTAGCCAACAATGAATCTAGACTGTGATTGATACTCGCTGCAAACCAAGTCAGACATTAACCATCCTAACCGCTTTGTAAAGCATGACAGTGGGCTGGTTTGGCTAAATTATACTGAAATACTGAATTTGGCAATAAATTTAAGATTCTTGTCACGAGATTATTACTATGGTAACATCAAAATCTAGAATCTTCAAACTGAATCTGGTAAACAAAAATTCTAAATGTACAGTGACTCAGTGAGGTAGAAATAGACAAATAAGCAAAAGATCATTATTTCATACCTCCCCCGGATGTATGATTGTTTTGTATTTCTTCACAAATGGTGAACGAGCTTCTTCATTGAACTGCAAGCATCACAGCATTAATTTAGCACAACATAAAGCAAACTAAAATTTATTTAACTTGCGAAAGTAAAATTCATGCTTTATATAACATCAGATAGATCTTTGCAAGTGATAAAGTTAAGAATCACTCTAACGAACTGTGACAAACATAAAGATTGCAAACATTAGCATCTAAAAAATTTGAACCTGCAAAACAATAAATATTAATACACTACCATTTAGCAGCACCACCGACCAACACTATTGTAACTACAGAAACAGAATTGAACTTATAATAATACACAAACAATTAAAATCACAGAGATTTTCATAGATCACTTTTTGCAATTAGCTAGATTTCAAATTAATAAACAACAATAACAACTGGGGAGCATATATAATTGTGTAACCAAGAACAAATAAGAAGCATAAATCAGTGTGTAAAACCAACAACTGAGGAGCACATGTAAGCATGTAATACCAATAACAACGGAGGAGCTTGCATAATAGATAGTATTCACATTAATAATCAAATGCTCATCTGCTACCTCAATTTAAAAGGGTTTACACATGGTAATAAAACCAGCCTTTGGTGACTGAAGCACACCCCAAAACATGTCCGTTTGCTAAGACAAATTCACCAATATATCAAAGCTAAAACAAAGAGCAAACAAAATTTTCTTCCGTATGTCTAAATAAGTGTGCTCTTAAATAACTTAGTATCAAGCTGATGATTTCTATGCTTTGAACAATATTGCACACAAATTAATATATAAAATCAAGATCCAGAAAGAAAACACGTATACTGCTGCAACCTGGCCAATGGACCTTTTGATCTCGTAACTTGGATGTATAGACCAAGAACCATGTCGCCCAATATGCTTATGCCCAAATTACTAGTAGTAAGCCATCAAACCTTACACAACAACGCCAATTCCTGATGTTGGACTATTCGGGCAGCAATACACATATGAAAACAAGTCAACCATTTTTTTTTCCAATTTATACACCACATATATCATGAAAAGGCAAAAGCCAATAGTTTTCGCATCAATCAGAATACAGTAGGGGAGAGTTACAACTTTCTTTTGCAACTTTGTAAGCAAAGTTTGCATTGCTCCAGGCCACAAAAAAATCTCAAGCTTATTTAGTTCCCAAAGAAGGAAAAACTATATCTTAGTTCAAAACAGAAGTTGAAATGATAATCATCAGAGGAACATATTAGTCATAATAAAGCAACATCCCAGACTGATATACATTAATCAGCTTAGTTGAATTGTTGGATGTGCCTGAGAAGAACATATGGATCACTACATTTCAACCAAATGTAAGCTAAAAACAGAAATAAACCCTTTTTAGCAATCACACAAGCAAATCTAATGTTACAATCACCAAAATGATCTATTGAACCAAGTAACCTGGGATATATGCTCTGCCGCTGCAACTCTTGGCTTGACGACTTCACAATTTGCTATAACAAGAGTATTTGGCACAGAGAAATCAGTCTGCAATGTCGCAGCTGATTCCTTACACACTTAACCATTTCCAGATTCCAGTCTCTACATCAGAAAGAGACAAGATACGGCTCAAAAGAAATCTTTTCTCTGTCACACAGCAGCAGAAGATACATATGGGAAATGAACTACTTTGTCCGAATAAGATGACCTCAAAATATCTTTCAGCACCATTGAATAAGAAAAGCAATAAAATGAAGTGATATAAAAAACATGACATACAAACATGAGAAAACTCATCAGTCACTAGCAAATAAGTACATTTCAAGTGCCAACTGAACATACAAACAAATGCTTGCTTATCAAAGGAGTTCTGAAGCAACACACGCTCCAAAAATATTTTGAAAAATATTAGAAACCAGCATATGTGTTATGCGCATAAGGTGCTGGGAAAGGAAAGAACAATTTGTCCTGCTACTGATCTTTTGTAGTAAATCAAAAGTGTGTGTTCTTTTTTCTGTTCAAGTGTTGTAATTTCTTTGCTTTATTTTAAATAGACATGAACTATCAATACCACCAAAATAGCTAGTACACATATAGAACTTCTATAAAAACAGTGCATAGAAGAATCTTAACCCATTCATGTTTGCACCAAACTCAATCCAAAAATGCAAAAACTACTTTACCACATCATTCAATTAGAAATAAAAATATGACTTGCATGCTAGCAAAGCTCTTTAAACTATTGTAGCTACTAAACAACTAGCTGAGTGTTCTTAAAAAAAAATGGTGACTTGCTTCTATTATCTGCTTCATACAATTTTGTTCACTCTTACCATACATATTGGTTGGTATCACTAACTAGTTAATGTGATAAGAGGAGCCAGAAACTCTTGAAAGTTACTCATGCAACAGCAATCAGAGTGGCATTTGTAAATAATTAGTTAAGTGAAGAAGAAACAAATTTTGCAGGTACGTAAATAGCATTATTGAACTTGGTGAATCAATATTTATTATATCTAAGTTTAACCAGAGCTAGGAAATGCAAAGAAGAAAATCAACCTTTTAAAAGAAATTTTTATCTATTACACAATAAGATTTTACAACATACATATCTATCCCATTGGAATTTGACAAATTCAACTGCTACTTTCTGATATTGGCTGAAAATAATTAATTCTGTAAAAGATAGTTGAATTGCAGTTTGAGTTCCTTAGTCCCTTGAACTGTTTGTAATCCACTTTAAAGATAGGAATCACGTAACAATTATAAGAACCAAGAAGCTTGCAGAAAAAATCACTTCATTTGAGTTCTCCCTGGTTAAAGCATTTATTCAGTCATGCTGTGCAAACATCTAGTATCAAGTGTCTGACATGCACTGTAAATGGCCATTTAGCAGTCAAGGGCAGTGTTCCATAATGTAATGAGCTCCACATATGTATCAGGAGAACATAGGTCTGATGTCACATACAACCCAGGTCATGCCCAAGAGAAGTGTAAATATTTGATGTGCCATAACATCATAGGACTTTTTAGTGCCACAAGTACAACTGTCAAGAACATATAATAAAAGGTTTTAAATGTTTGGAATCTACACTTAACTCATATAGAATATAATCTAGATGAATCATAAGGGCATGAAGGGAGTCAAAATTGCATGTTTGCACAACAGGCAACATATGTCTCAACCATATGATGGACACACATTTATCATTATGCATGTAGATGGATCGAGCATAGATTTTGTGGTCTAAAGCAAAATTCATTTCCCAACTGAAGCTATGGATACATTCGGTTGCCAGGCAAGAAAATGTTACTTGTTAGGATCTTGGTTGACTTACCTGCTCAGAGAGGTATAGCCGCTGCCGATTCTTGTATGTTGCTTGCTCATGTTGAGGCCCCCACCTACAAAGGAGAAAGAAATTAAGTGCAAGAAGACCGCTACAATGAGGTTTATGAAGCAAAAGAAAAGCCACTCGTTCACCAAGGTAAACTGAGAACCAAGATCTCCTATATTCCTAGGTTCCGCGATGATATTAAAATCTAGGTCGTTGTTTTATCTACATTTCCATTGAAATACCAAAAGTCAATTACCGAAATTCTAAAATGCAAGACGGTCCAGTCGTTTCCCCAAAACAAGGGCAAAGTAGAAGAGGGAGACAGAAGAAAGTGAGTCAAATACACAATAGATCTTCTCATTCCCATGTGTATTCCCGTGATGTTTGCTACCTAACGTCATCTTAGTGCGAAGCTAGCACGGGTCCACGTTCACGACCCGGTCGAGTAAAGAAGGAAGCATAAACCCTAAGATGTACGATGCAAAACCCTGTAACAAGATCAAATCAGGGAAAACCTTAACCGTGACTCCGAAAAGGGGAGATAAAAGTTAAGATAAGGAGAACGAAGAAGAAGAAGGAGATATAGGGAGCGAGAGGGAGAAGTACCTGCAAGAGAGGGAAGGCCAGGCGAGGTTGTGGTTGGCGAACCAATAATCATAGAGGACGGGGACGAGCGACTTCCACTGTTTGTACTTCTCGTCTACCGTCGCCTTCCCCCCTCTCTCTCCCTCGTCTCCTGCGCGCGCCAGTCTCCGCCTGGCCCCGGCTTCGTAGCTCTTCTTCGGACAAACCAACCACCCTTAAAAAGGTCGATTCAAATTTCCAATCTGTCGGGCTATTCATGGGCCGGACTCTTAATAAAGCCCAAGCCTGGCCTTCTACGTCAGCAGCATATCCCAGTACACAAACCGCGTAGGTTAGCGTCCATGCCCACTTAAATTAGGCATGTCATAAAGATTATAGAGTGTAGTGACATCCAAAAAGCACTACATGGACTCTAACAAAGCAAAGGAGTCGAGTTCGCAAGTATGAAAAGATCATTTAGTTCCGCGTTGGTTTGGTTGAAGAGTATGAGAATCAAGGACTAATAAGTTCGTCAGATCTCCTTTACGACCAGGGACCAGTCGAGATTGCCCGACAGCAGTTGCCGCTTCTCGAGGTTATATCAGCAATGACGAGGCACACCGATGGCTGGCGCCTGCCGACGAGATGGTCGCTGCCCGACGACGCAAGAACTACTGGATATAACATTCTTGCGTCGAGAAATATAAGCTCAAGCAGATGAGACTGAAGACAGAGAGAGGGGTAATATACGCAAACAATTATTTTTCTGTTCGAAGGAGAAATTAATTAAAAGATACACCAAAATGGATTTTCTCTTTAAATCTCGGAGAGAGGAAGATGGAAACAAATCATAACGTAGTCTCCTTTCGAGTAGCTACCGATGCAAAGTTCAAAGTTGAGGCCGCTCGCAGGAAGAGAAGTCCATGGCTGGTTTTGTATCAGCCATCCGAAGGATCACCCTGCTGGAGAAGTGACTGTTGCACAGGGATTCTCTTGCAAACTCCTCATCTCTGCCATGGCTTCCCTTTAGCCTGTCTGATCCAGCCAGCATTCCATTAAAGATCCCCTCGGAAGAACCACCAGGAGCTGTAGCTTGTAGAAATGTAACAGCAGGGCCTAATCCGTGCGATGAACTACCACATCCGTAACGCATGCCACGGTGCGAGGACAAGCAAAGACCAATGCCTGCAGTGGTTGGTGTATCTGCTGCCATCTCCGTGTTGATCTTGGTTCTGCTCATGGTTGCACCCGCCTGAGCTGCCTTCTGGAGCAATGCAGTGGCTGACAAATGAGGGGAGCTTGTCAAAGTCGGATGAGAAGAAAGATAAGGAGATTGGTGGTTCTTATACGGGAACACAGGCTCGAGAACTGCGGAGCAGATGGAAGGCAGCCCATGGATTTTTGCAGGTTGCCATGGTTTCATGCTGGGGTAGGGATCCTGCTCCTCTCCTTTTATCGAGAACTCTAGGTGGCAACTGCTGCTTGTAGTAGTAGTAGTAGTCGTAGTAGTAGTAACACTGGTCGTATTTGGAAGAACGGAATGTTCATGGGCTGACGAAGCCGGCTGAGGGAGCAGAAGTTGGTGCGCGTCGCCCACCAGGTTTGCTGTAGTTACTCTTGCATTCTCCTCTGCCAATGCATCACAGAAGGCTCTGTGGGTGATAAAGCTGTCTCTTCTGCTTACAGTCAGCAATACCCGAAAAAGAAAGAAACAGTAAGAAACAAGTGGAAAAATCTCGTACGAGTCCAGAAGTACAGAAAAAAGGGGAGAAATTAATTTGGTTGTTCTATAATTCATGGCTAAGATCCAAAACAACAGTTGTTCCTTTCACTGCTGTTTTCTGACTAGTGACAGGGGTGTTGTGTGTGATGGGGGTCTTAAGGTTGGAGGCATTACCTTGAAAAGAGGGTTCCACAGTCACACTTGTATTCTCTGGTGCCGCAGATCTTGCTGTGGGCTTTACAATCGGATTGGACTGCATATTTCTTTGAGCACTTGTCGCATTTCCACTTCTTCTCCCCATGCTTCCTGCTGTAGTGCTTCTTGATGCCTGTCAGGTCTCCGAGTGCCCTGGACGGGTCATGGTGGACGCACGACACCTCTGGGCAAACGTAAACCTTCTTCCTCGCCTCCTTGCTCGTCCTCTGCTTCAGCCTCCATGGCAGGTTGTGGCCCCTCCTGTGGAGCTGGAGGTTCTGATCCCTCTGGAACCCCTTGTTGCAGATCTCACACACAAACCTATTGGTTGCCATCAACGACCTGGGGGACAGCGCCACCACCTCGGCTTCTGGAGCTGAACTCCACAACCAAGCATGAGGTGTCTCACTGTTTGATCGAGGGAAAGAACAAAAAAAGCGAAAGATAACAGCTAGCGCGATGGTGAGACCTGGATTCCCTGCAGGTCCTCTCTTTTTCTTAGCCGGAAGTGGATTTGGAGACGCAAAAGAAGATTGCTGGCTGGAAGAGACAGCAGTGACTTCACCGGTGCCGGAAGTGAGACCAGGCGTCTTGTGTTCCACCACCTTCATCTTTAGATTGTTGCTGAAGGAATCCTCTAGCTGAGGAGCTCTCGAGTACCAAAACTGGAGAATGAATGAATGAATGAAGGATATGGATCTGAGTCTTCAGAAGGTGCTTTTCCACTCGTCTAAAGCATGATCGACTACAATCCGAAAAAGTCTCCCATGCACCTACGATAAGATCTCCCAAAATTCTACATGACAGTAGATAGCACCATCCCTGAAAACACAAGTAAAATAGATGCGTTATGACTCTAATTCAACTTTATTTGTGCTGCAAGCACAGAAGAAAGAAGGCAACAAGAAAAAGGCTTGACGAAGCTGACAAATGGAACCGAGCAGGTCTCGATCAGCTCATTCCGGAGGGCAAGAAGAAGAAATATTTCCCATGGTTCAGCCAGCTCCCGCTACGCTGAGTGTCTACCATAAACAAGAGGTCCTCGAAGAAGCTGAATCAACGAGGATAAAAGGTCCATTCGCAAATGATGAGAAGAATTGCTGCATGCAACAGAGAAGCCCTAAATAATTCAGGGGGGGCAACGAGTCGTTCCATGTGTACGCTGACAAGGCAACCTAACCAAAGCGATCGAGAGATCCAATGCAAATTAGACGGTGAAGTCAGGGAGGAATCACTCGGACACCCGAATCAGGAGAGAGATCGAACGGCTGCCTCACTCGTTGGACGATCGAATCATTCGACGAGCGTCGGATCTGCTCCGGCGTCGTCCTTGTCGTGCTGTTCTGACGTTGCATTGTCTGTCTTATCCTTTGTTCCATTCGCATACATATTATTCCTTTCCCCCCATCCCTCGTTATCTCTTTCTCGAATGAATCATTGAGCTCTGTAATTTTACATTCATCCAACAGTCTTTGACAGTGTTGATTTCTGGTAGTATTACACCATCCATCGTCCCAATGTGGTCACCGGTTTTAGTGGGTGAACTTTTCAGTCATAGAGTTGGCTGTCGGATGAGACGTACTACCTTTGATGTGCCAAGTGGTAGTAGTAGTAGGATTACGAGTGGGGAGGACGGAAAAGATGATGCGTGACCGTGGAGGATGGTGCTCGCCTTAGTCATTCCTCGTATGATTGGGATAATATAAATTATAGCACTTCATGATTGTTTCATTGATTTGAGTTCAGCAGATACCACCGTAGATGAAGACCAAGTTAAGATATCCAACTCTTTTTTCCAACAATAATTAATGAAAAGACTTGAATTATAGGTGGAAAACATGATAGGGTTATTTGAATGATATCTCAATTAAAAGTTTACTTGGAAAAATAGAATAATTCAAGAACAAGTCATATTCTTACTCTAATTTTGGATGAGTGGGACATCGACGATAAAATCTTACTCTAATTTTGTAGGTTGTAGGAACATGTAGACAACTTGGAGCCTTTCTAAGAGCAGATACATGAGGGAAGCCTCATCATCACTGTCCCAATGGGCGTATGGAAGTTGGATCCATAACCTATTTGCAGCAATGAGAACCAAGATAAAAGCTGGAGGTTTTGCCTGTTAAGGCCATGTTCATATTTCTCCTTGAGCTTCTACATGCAATTCTCTTCACAAAACTATATTTGTGTAATAGAAAACCAAAATTCCCCAAGTAACATTCAAAAAGAGACTGAGAGCATGGACAGTTCAATGGATGGAAAATTCCACAGTACAGAAGGCTGACAAATGCAGGCTAAAATGGTTAAGCTCGAAACGAAAGCATGCAAACAATTTATAGTGGCAAACATAGCTTAACCATTTGTAACATGGAAAAACTTTATTGCAGTACTAACAATCTGACCTTACTCATCTCTGATAATAGTGACTTAAAATTGCCAATGCATGATTCCATACCAACTGTTACAGCGTCTTAAACAGCAATCCTTTGCCGACCTTTTGCTATTCTGCGAGCAATGACCTTACGCCCACCCTTGGTTGCCTTTCTGCATAAGAAATGGATGTGACGTGTCAAAGGGAAGCACTTTTACCAATGAATTCGCAAATGGAACCATAACTCAATCCAGAGAATAAGCAATCACGAAAAAGCATAAAAGTTGGATAAAGGAACTAGTTGTTATCAAGAGGGTAAAAAAAAATAAACACAAGGTTACTGCAGAAAAGGCCCTTTGAATCTACCAAGGTAAATGAGATGTTATGAGCATTTAGAGGGTTACAGAGAAACACTATACACCTTTTGCTTAGCTCATGCAAAGATCTATAATAGCTCTTCAATTTAAAAAAGAAAAACTTCTATAAAATACTGATTATTTGTAATACATTTTCAGAAAAAGGGAGAAGTTAAAAAGCTACTTCTTGGTGATGGTTATGTTTCCTTTTTGCCTTTTATGGAAGAAATGTTGTTTTAATCATGAACATATTCTTGTTGTAGCTGCCACTACTACCACCAGTGGATATCATCTAAAATGTTTCAAACATGTCACCAACTAATCAGTGCTGTCAAGAGGCATTCAGGAGTCAGACACTCACCTTGGTGCTCAGGCAAGGCTAGGAAACCTAGAGAGGCAACATAACCATGAGTCCTCTTAAAGGCATGTATTTGATGAGTATGATACAAGTAAAAGGTTTGACTACCAAGACAGATGCTTGCTTGTAAATCATGGCATACTTCAACCATGACATACTATATATCATTAAAACCAATTAAGGTGGTGTGTGTGTGTGTGTGTGTGTGAGAGAGAGAGAGAGAGAGAGAGAGAGAGACCGTGCAAGGTAACCATGAGCCCTCTTGCGCTTAATGTGGCTTGGCTGGTAAGTTCTTTTCGGAAGCAAATGCAGTGGCTCATTTGTCAAATCATCATGTCCTATGGAACAGACATCAGGATCAGCACACTGGTATTTGAGATACAAACAATAAAAAGAATCCCCACATTTGCAAAAAATATTTTTTAACAAAATGAATCATTTGCATTGAACAGATGAAAGGGTTGTGAGTTATGTTTCCAACTATTTAAGTTTTACATACATCCACTAGTAAATTCAAGCATTGAATTTAAGAACAAGAGTATCGTCACAACAAAATTTATACTTTATGTGAATGGAGAGCTTACATGCTTAATTGGCATAGAGAACAGTTATAAATTGTGAACAGAACTCATCAATTTTGAGGACACATGATTGAAACTCCCATGGCCAGCATAAGCCAATGTAGATAGTTTAACCAAACTGCGACTTCAGACACCAAAAACCCCTCAAAAAATCCCAAGGTAATTGGCATGGTGTATTACGGACCATACCTGATCCACTAATACAAAGGTCTTGAGATATAGTTAACAAGGAAATGATGAACTAACTTAAGCACAGTGAGAAGTCTCAGAATGCCATCTACTTGTTTATAAAGAGAATATCCACAAATGCCACACAAGCTTACTATTGATAATCTATTTCCCTACAATAGCAACTTTGGCCAACCAAAAGTTTCACCTTAAAATACAATTGTTTTCATTTCTAAAGGAATTCAATATCTCAATCTGACACCTATGCATAAAATGCTCTGTTATACATCACCAGAGATAAGAAAGTTCTACTACTGCCTAAGGCATGCCATTATAATTTGAACATTTAACTTTCAAACAAAACAAATGCAGGGTAAGCAGTTGATCATTCTTGCATCAGCAATTATTAAGTTGCACCAAAATCCAAAGTCAAATTCACCATTCTTGTGTCAGTAACTATTAGAGGGTGACATTTGGTTCAATGGTAAAATTTCTCCTTTGCAATCTGGATGACCAAGATTCAAGCTATGAGAAAACCTCGCTACTTGCAAGTATAGGACAACATACATTGATGCTTCTCCTCAAAATTTACATTTGCAGTTGACTGTGCATTGGGCCACCATTTTTTTCCTCTTCTACCAAAAACCCATATTCAGATGAATCTTAATGGGATACATCAGTTCTCCATCAATTAAGCTAAAAAAATCATCCAGGAAAACTTATCCAAATATCCATGAGAATATGAATTACACTTTTGATTAAGAGGAGAAACAAACTATTAGAACTTAAAAAGACATTTAAAATTGAATATGATTTCATTAATCAATTAGTTTTCTCCTCCACAAATTACTGAGATTCTCATTTGTGTTCCAAAAACAAAAATGTGCAGTTAAATAATGAAGCCATAACCACACAAGTTTCAGAAACATCATTCACTTCTGATTTCTTAAAAACACTATGATTCTCTTAAAAAACCGATATATATTTTTTGTGTTCCTTTCTCAAGCTTCAATATTGTAATGGTTCAGAAACCTAGCATTTACTGATATGAGATCTAGATCTACATAGAAGTAAATCGCAAACAAAGTTCAGATTTTTGCAGCTCTGATTCACCAAGAACTGTAGCATTATTCACAAAGTGGTCACATGGAAAGTAGGCAAAAAGCAAATCCGATAGTCTTTTAGAGGTAATCAGTCATGAAAGTATCAGAAAAATGTTAATGGTGGTTAAGGTCCATGGTGTATCTAGTGATTTAAGAAGTAAAGAGAAAAACTAACTACAAAAAGTTAATTTCACAATCCAAATCTATTGTCTTTTTGATTGCACTGTTACTGGAATTGAAGGACTTCAGCAGACGCAGTGCAATAGAGCCACCTAGCCAATGTACAGCTAATAATCCCACAACCAACCATACACAAAAAATGTACTCTCACATAATTCATCAAGAGGAAGCTAGCGAACAGCATGACAGACATTGGAGACATTATCAAATATAATAACAAAGAAAAACCATTACATATACGGTAGGTCACTGGTGCGAAGTGAATAATTATTATGTTAGAAGACACCATCTCAACCAAACAGGATTCTGCCAAAGCCTATCAAAGTGACAATTTTTACTAACTCCATGAGAAGCAACACAACGTGGGCAGACACACTATAGTACACAATTAGAACGAGTCGATGTGATCTATTTCTCCAAAAGTGAATGATCTCACCTTCGTCAATGAAGAAGCGGAGAGACGGAAGGCCGCACGGAAAGACGATGCCTTGGGAGGACGCCAAAATCTTTAGGCTTTCGGCGTCTCCTCCTCCTACGGATCCCGGCGGCGGGGACCGAGCGGCGAGGAATTTCTCCGCAAAGCACCGAACCGGAGGTTGCGAAGAGATCCGAGGCAGGAGGAATGTATTGCTTGGCTTCGGCGGATGGAAGACGAAGAAGCGATCGATGAGAGAAGCTCCGGCACGAGCTAGGGTTTTGGACGACATTTCCTGATCCAGCGGGACAAGATGCCCTACTTGTCTTGATTCATTTCTGCAGTGTAGTGTTGACAGAAGTAAAGGACATCTAAGTGTTTCAGAAACAATAAATGACCAAAACGGGATTCGAACCTAAAATTTTAGGATATACTATCAAAATTTTTATCAGTTAATATAATTACTATTTTCATATATATATATATATATATATATATATATATATATATATATATATATATATATATATATATATATATATATATATATATATATATATAATTCAAAAAAAAAGAGATATTTGATCTTTCGAAATTGTTCATAAATCCCTTAAGAATCCATCATTATCGTAGTAATATATTAGCCAGTATATATTAGTTATTGAAAAATAAAAATATATATAAATTAGTGGTTACTTAAAACTCTAATTTTTATATTAGTATTTATTAAAAATATAAAAGTTACTATATATTTTTACATATTTTAACCAATATTATATATAGCTAGAACTCATAGTCTAATAGATATGTGTTAGCCCTGACATCTGTGGATAATTTTAACATTTGAAAAGGCATACATATGCTATAGTAAAACTTATAATTAACTTATAACGACTAATATACTATTTTAAAGTGTATAAGAATATATATGTAAAATAATTATTTTTAGTGTTTCTTTTACCCTTGGAAAATGTTCAACCATATTGACTGGATATACATAGAAAATCATTAAGTTTAAACTTATATGAATAAAATAATTCAAAAATTATTGTTATATTTCAGAACACTAATATACCATGTTGAGCAATTTTATGTCATGATCGATGGGTCAGCACATCTCCAGAATTGATCTTGAGTGTGCATAGTGATCGACGTCAAGTTATATCCAAGCTTCGTCTCTAGAATTGATTTGATATAGAGCAAGGAGTTGCTCTTCCTCACCCGTTAAGTTGTTGTTCCTTCCTTACCAAGTTTCTACACATAGGTCGAAGTCGGGAGGAAGGATTTTTTGACTCGATTAGTCTGAAGCTTAAATCAGTATTAAGTTAGAGTAAGTTTGAGTATTCAAAGTTTCACCCTTGATACTAGTTAGGAGGTTAGATTTTATACCTACGAAAGATGGTCGATCGTACATGGTCTGTTAATACTCCTCGGACGATCGACTCGTTACCTTCTATGCGGGCATCGATCGACATGCATGGAGTGACGCTGCATGGCATCGATCCAAGCTTTCTGAAATGGCTTTGTACTTTACGATGCCGTCATATATGACCTCACACAACGTGAGAGCAAGTTGTCATCCCATTCGAGTTCGAGTGTCGCATCGATATATTGCACCATATCGTAGTAGCAGAGTAAGAATTATACCTTAGTAGCCTTAATGGCCAAACGGAGTACCAAAATTAGTCGAAATGATACTGAGCATGGAGAGAAGCCGCGTCTGCCAGCCGGGATGGCAACGCGCAGACGCATTCAAAACCCCAACAACGTTTCGCAGGTAATTGCGGTCGCATCTTCGTTCGTAGGAAAGTAAGGTCGGAACGAAGAATATAATTGTAACTCACCTCGCAGCTTCTCGCGAACGCATCTTTAGGTTTATAAACCAACTCCCATCTCTGGAGCTTCCCCTAATCCGTTCTTTCGTCGATCGAAGACCAGGTGATCGCTCCCATCTTAAACTCCAATTATCGCTCGGTCCGGTTTTAGGGCCTTCCTGTTGCCTTCTTCTTGCGGTGTTGAACCTATTGTCTTCGAAGTTACTGCCTCTTATCTCCCGTGGCGAATGATCCAATGGTCAAAATCGTTTTTTTTTCTTCCTTCTGGAGTGGATTGTGTTCTAATGATCATCGATTTTGATGAGAGTCGAGTCGTTTATGCTTATTATTTCTCGAAGTCTGCATTATGATTCTGAAAGAATTGATTGGCCAGAGATTGCTCCTTTTATGCATTTGTTTTTTCAGTGCTTATCAATATATCAATATTTCATTAGTGGCATATTTTAATTTAAAGTTCGTATTTTCCATTACATTACAGATTTGTTTGCATCTTTTTACATGACCGATGTTCTGTTTGTGTTTTTTCCTCCAAGGATCTAATGGTGATATGATTTTTGGAACCCATTCGATAGGGAGTGAAAGGATTTTGATCGTTACTAGAGGGGGAAAGAAGACACAAGTGATCATGGATAAGGATAGAACCCATGACTGGGAGACTCATGGAAGGAGCAATGACATCGACGAGAGCACACCGATGGACAAAGTCAAAGCTCCCAATGTGTTTGAACGAGCAAAGGAAGAGATCGAGGCCCTTGTAGAGACTATCCACTCGAAGAGAACCCCAGATCATGAGCAACATGCAAAGAAAGATGGTAATTCTCTATACATAATCGAGTCTCTTTGTTTCAGGCCGGTTGATCAAAGGCAAGTAAGGGAATGCGCTTTGCAGGAATGGCCATGCTAATGAGACTATTTTAGTCAAATGAAAAACTCTCAATTCCCCGCACCAAAAACTTGAGAGTGATTTTTGGATTTCCTTCTTGGCAAGAGGATTCCTGCACGCCATAATTTCCTTCATGGAGTAAATAGATTATCGAAGTACTTACGAGTTTCATCGTGAGTTCACTTCAGATACTGGCTCATCAGAGATTGCTGCTATGCATACTTCACTGGCACTTAGTTCTCTTTAATTTCTGAAGTGGGATTCAGATAGGATCTCCCACTGAATTTGTTTAAGTTGGAAGGTAGACTTCACTATCAGAATCAGCTAGATGTATTTATCAAAATGTTACATTGGATTTTAATAAATCTCGTTCTATATCTCATCATTACTTGAAGCTCATATAAAAGATATAAATCTAAATCTGCTGTTGGTTTATGTTGACTTGTGCATGCTGCTTGAAATCATGTTGTATTATTCTTAGGTTTTGTTCTAATGTTGTAACATTAGTTTTGAGAAAAAGAACACATTTTTTTATAATAGTTTTGACAAGCTTTCTTCCTCTGTAATAAAATAACTTGATAGTTGTCTTGGGTTGTCAACTGGTGGTATCTGATCTGTTCTAGTGTTGTAACATTAGTTTTGAGGAAAGGAACACCTATTTTGTTTTAATAGTTTTGACAAGCTTTCTTCCTCTGTAATAAAATAACCTGATAGTTGTCTTGGGTTGTCTACTGGTGGTATCTGATTTGTTCTAATGTTGTAACATTAGTTTTGAGAAAAGGAACACCTTTTTTTTTTTTTGACAAGCTTTCTTCCTCTGTAATAAAATAACTTGATAGTTGTCTTGGGTTGTCTACTGGTGGTATCTGATTTAGCTGGTGGGGGTTAGAGTGGTGCTTGGTCAAGACAGTCTAATGTTATTGGATTTATTACTGGTTCTAGTTATTTTCCTAGTTGATGAGAGTATGTGGTAGACTAATCACCTAATTCTACTGGGCTTTGTTGTTTTTCATGATGAACAATGTGAAATTATCCAATTTACTTACAGGGTCAAAGGAAGGGACTGAAGAACCTCTGCACAAGGAGAAAACACATCGTAAGGAGACCCATGGCATGAGTGATGATATTGATGAGGACACTCCTATTGATAAAGTCAAAGGCCCAAACGTGTTTGAACGAGCCAAGGAAGAAATCGAAGCTATCGTGGACACTATACATCCAAAAGATGAATCCAACAGTACGCCACAAAAGAAGAACGATGGATTCTGGGAATTCCTTGCAAAATGTTTTGGTAAATTCTGCTCTCCTCGTAGCCGAAAGAGAGATTAGCTGTAAAGTTCTATGTGAGTTTTGCTGATTGGTTTCCCATAAATCGACAAATTGCTTGTGCGCTTATTTGTGCAGCGAAAAGTATGAGGTCCTGCAAACAGTTCACATTCTGGTTTGCTTGCAGAATCAATTTGTTGTCAAGGAACATGTCTGATCTTGGTTTCAAAGAGTAGGGGGATTTATAAGATGTTGGATCTTTCTTTGTGACGATGCTCATATCATAAATGTCAAGTCTCTTTGTATAAATGTTTAGTTTCTTTGTGACAACTAAATTGATCATTAATTTCATTGGTGTTCTGTTCTTCATCACACGAGAAAGAGATTAGATGGAGAAATATTTTGATCCTTTAGAGAGCTCGTCTGGAATAGGCAAAATTGCACTGCAAAAATACCATTTAGCTCACTAACGATCCGGCAATGTTGCATGTTCTGTTCTAATTTGCTTTCATGAGACCATCTCATTCCATATGAATGGAAGGAACAACAACACAACACCTGCAAAGATGGTCTCTGTATTTTGGTTTTCTTACATTGTTTTCTGCATGGATTAATTAGGCCTCAAGCTAGAGAAAGAATTGTGCATCTTCTGATGTTCTTTGTTGTTCCTCGCTGCTCACGATCATCGTAACTCGTCGGGATAAAAGGGATTGTGGTGGTGACGCGTGATCAGAAAACCAACGTAGAATGCAAACCGCAAGATGAATGCGACATGAACACGGTGGATTCAAGCATAAACGGAAGGGGGTGGGGCAGAAATCATCAAACACTCACAAACAGAAGCATGGAGATGATGCAAAGCAGGGTAAGATGATGGTCTAACTTCCCAACTTTCTACAGAACTCCATCCCTCCTCGAGGTTCCCCGTCGAACCCTAGTTTCCTACATGCCTCGTCGCACTCCTTGGCGCATTCTTCCAGGCTCAACATCCCCACCGGAATGCATTTCTTCATGCACTCGCAGAAGCAGTTCTGGCCAGCCTCGCTCCTCCCCAGGTGCGAAACAACCAGTAGTGTACACAGGAGCAGCACCGCATTCAGCTTCTGACAAGCCATTCCTCTCTCTCTCTCTCTCTCTCTCTCCGGTACGGTGAAGGCAGGAGGGTCTCTATAACGGAGGAAGAAGAAGAGGGCAAGAACAAGAGGAGGAATGGTCAAAATAGCAACTACGTTATAATGTGCCGTATCAGCCGAAGGAAGGAGATTGACTGGGTCAACTTTGCGATCCATGGCAAGCGCCGGCCCTCTCTTTTCGCCCATTGGTTTGACCACGACCATGCATGCCTCTGTCAACGTCGACAGGATCCAAAATTAGGAACATGCACACTGCGTACGTAACATCTAATAGCAGAACGATATGTCACTGAAAGGTGGGTGTCTCGCCGTGAACTGAACAATTAAGTTCATGTCGAGAGATCGTAGAGCTCCAAAAATTAAGTTCATGTCGAAAGAACTACGCTGAACTGAACAAAATCTGCTTCCCACCGTGATTGGCGAATCGTAAAGAAGAAGAAAACAGAAAACGGTGGCAGAAGTCGCAAAGAGCGTCGCCAGATGCATGCACGGGAGTCGATCGATCAGCGATCAAGGAAGAAAAGCTTCAGCCGAAGTGAACGATTTCCTTGATGTGCCTCCCGGAGACGGACACTTTCAGCGTCAACATCGAATCATCCAACTCCACGTCGAAGAAATGCTTCCATAAACCGGTGCTCCCATCGTAGTACGTCTCTGTCTCCATGACGATCACCACAACAGTAGGATGCTGCAACTCTGCCTTGTCGTTGGCAGCGACCTCAGCAGCAGGGAGCACGTCCACGATGGCCACCTTCTCGTCGGCAGTCACGGTGAAGAGGATCCCCTCAAACTCTGTGCAGTCGTACCAATCTTCGCCGTCGGTGTACCTCGTCATCGCTGATATCCAAACTCGAGACTAGCGTGAGACAGAGAGGAAGAAGGAAAGAATCTTGAGGAAAGAGGAGATAAACTAGTATTTATGGAGGAGGCGAGGGGTTTGGTGTTAAGAGGCAATACTTTTCCCACACTTATTCGGAGTTGGAGCGAACGAGATATCGTCGAAGCAGGAAGGTTTTCTTTCATGAATGGACGGTCGGACGAGGGACGGTTCGGATGAGGGGAACTCGTTGGGAGTTCTATCCCTTATGGGGTTTGGAGAGACCGCCATTAGCCCTCCACGGTAGCCAATCAGCGTCCCCAATCCAGCTCTCAGCTTGGGAGAGTCGAAGACACCGACTCGGAATCGGCCGTCTCGATGATGCTCACTATGGCTCCTGGGATTTGAAGAGGCCACCTTTAGCCCTCTACGGTAGCTAATCAAAGTGCCCAATCCAACTCTCGAGTCGGAAGAGTCGGAGACGTCGACTCGGAATCAGCCGTCTCAATGTTCACTATGATTCCTATTCTCCGTACCTTTAGTTTTCCCAAATTAGCACAAATGTTACAGTTTCCTCTTCTAAAATGTCAAATGCAATGTCTAGGAGTAAAAGAAAAGCATGAAGAAGAACAGTCTGCAAGCAAAAAATAATATTAAAAAAAATAATATTAAAAATTTAAAATTAAATAATAATGTATCAAATTTATGATGCATATAAATATACTGTTATCAAATCCGAAAGTTATAATGATACTGATTTGCATATAATAGATTAGGGATAAAAAGAAAAAAAGAGAAGATTTATAATCTCTTAATAACTAATTTTTTTAGAGGTCAGTGTCCTTTTATAAATTTAGAGACGATCACATATACTAACATTCTCATTAATTGATAAAATATTAAAAATTAAAAATTAAAAATAAATAAATAAAATTTTATTTTAAAATAATTTTAATTAAATTTGATTTTGAAACTTAAAAATAGTTTTATATGTACATATGAATTTTATAAAACAAGAAAATAAAGCAAATATATATAATAATATTATATTATGTTTGACTATTAATGTGAGTTATAATGATTATGTCATAAATATTATATTTTGTTCTATGTACCATAATACAATTAGCTCTTCCTAATATAGTCCAAAATAATCCTTATAATTTATCTTATTAAAATAATCTTATTATACTATAATATGTACATATATAAAAGTAAACATGATAGTAAAAATAAATAACTTTAATTATATAAATAAAATATCAATTATAATATCTATTCAAATATAAATCACTATATCTTTTATAGGTTACTCACAAACTCAATCATAATAATATATTTTTTCAAACATTTTAGATTGCAAAGCGTTAGTGAATAAATCAGTATTTAATATAGTAAAACTTAAATTCTTAATTGATATTAATTGTTTATGGACTCTTTCTATAACTATTAAATACTTTTTATCATAATACATATTATTATTTTTAGAGAAGAAAATGATTATGATATAACATAAAATATCTTCAACGACTTAACAATTAAGTCTGATCGGACCATATCCTAAGGTAAAATTTTATATTTATAAAGCTTGATTAGTGACGACAAAATATACTACAAAATCAGTTTTTCTTTTTGATAATATAATATATTATTTTTTATTTTCTCCTATAAATTATCTTTTCAACTAATAATTATAAAATATAAAATAGACTTCATATCATCAAGGTAATTTAGAGAATCAATAATTAAAAATATCATCATTTCAAGCTAATCTAATTTTATACATGTGAGCATACAATCCTTCATCCCTTTTAGATATTTTATTATTATTATTATTATTATTTTGTATATTATTCCCAGGTAATTCTAATATCTATCAAGTATTTCAGATATAAAATTGATATTTGGTTCGGTATAGACTTGAGTATATAATAGATTTTTAATTATGCATACATAATGAATATTTTTCTTTGTTTGATTATTTCTAAGTTATTTTAAAATATTTGTTTTGATTAATTTTTTTACTTTTATCATTTGCTGAACAAAGTTATATACTAAATCTCTTTAATACTCAATCAATATATCATTTCTAAGATAATATTAGCAAACTTTAACATCTATTCTTAAATATCTTAATGTTAATAACATAAGCCACTTTATTCGTATCAATTATTTTAAAATTCTTCTTAAATAAATCAAGATCACTAGCAAGCAAAATATTATCCAAACTAATATAATAAACTTACTTTTACTTCATATATAAATACTGATTAATAGTATTTTCTTAAATCTAAAGAAAGTAATGATGTCAAGAAACGTTATATACCATTATATAAAAGCTTACTTATGAGCATAAATATATTTTCTAAATTTGTATTTTAAATTTTATATTTCTTATATTTGAATCATTTAAGCTAATCTATATAAATCTATATCTCTATTCAAAAAATTTATTTTCACATCAACTTAAAGTCATAAGCCGTCATGACGATTGTTAACGAGTTTATTTAAAAAACTAGAAAAAATATCTCATTATGATCGATATATTCCTTATGAGTAACTTTTAATCACAAGTTTGACCGTTATATCGTTTAATATTCCCCTTTGAGTCAAATTTATATAACATACTTTTTTATAATTCTTAAGCAATTCAATGAATTATCAGACACCATTAAGGTCTATTGATTTTAACTCTTTTTTCATTGCATTATATCATCTTTTAGAATTTTTACTTTTCATAACTTTTTCATTGTAAAAACAATCAAAGATCTTTTTTATTCATATATCATAATCTAATTCTTATACATATATCACATAATAATAAAAATGGATAAGTTTTTTTTCTTTTTAGATCTTCTACAAGATTGTTTGTGACAATATTAATATCGTATAGGAGTTAATCAATATTTTTTTATTATTCACCTTTATCAATTCTTTTAGTGATTTGAGAAACAACAATCTCTCGAATATAAAATGATAAAGGAGTATAACCTGTATTTACTCAATATCATGATTAAGTTTTGAGATTTTTACTTCTATTGATTTATTATTTTTTAGAAATATTAAATTATAAAATTTAACTATCATCGTACTATGATTAGATTAATAATAAATTAAATTATTTAATTATGTAATTAAGGATATAAGTTTAAAAAAATTAATTTTTAAAGGGAAAAATTATAATTTTGTTTAGGATATATAATGAAAATATTTGATTTATGAAAGGTATAATAAAAAAATAAATTTAAGGACACAAAATTAAAATTATCTAATTTCTAAGTAATAAAAATATTATTTTAGTTAAAAATGGAACGAGCCCTAAAACCTCTCTCAACCGCTACCATTACGTTTTGTTGAACCCATGCGCGTGGGTCTTATCGATGGTGCACCAGCCTTCTACCGCCTATGATAGTGTGGTTGTTCTCAGGTCGTTGATTAGCAACCTCACTGTTGCCGTGTCGGGCCATCGCGCCCACGCACGATTGTGCACCGACTAGCAACTTGATTGCGATCAACTCGACCTCCAACCGTCGTCCTCACCGTCAACTATGACAACACGCTCCGTAGAGTTTTCCCCCACCCACCACTATCGCATTGCATCGTTGCTGGGTACCATGGCCTTCGACATCCAATCGACACTAGTCATAGCCAACAAATGCCACGCAATGTTGCTGGTTATAAGTTCACTTGATTTGCCTGGCATTATTTTGGCCAATGCCTTTTGATGTAAATTCTTGGTATGGCATTGTAAGTACTTGATATAGTGTGACTTTTGTGCACTCATCAAAGTTTGTGTTTCGAATATTCTCTTCAAGTAGAGAAAGAGCCCACATGATATACGATATATTACGACTTGTGTGCCATTAGCTAGAGAAGTTGATGCTGTGCCATTTTTCTGTTCGAGCTCACCTAATTACTTGCAAATTGTTCAGTGTCTACGTACTCCCAAGTATTACACCAATACATCAATGAACAACTAGTTCCCACCTATCTTAAAATGAATAATAATATTTGAAGAGTTCCTAGATCATCCTAGGTTCAAGAACGAAAGATCCAAGAAAGACTGGTTTATCAGCGGCTAATATTTAATATCAAAGAAAGATCCAAGTGCTTTGTGTACATGTCAGCATAACCAAGCGTCCACCTTAGCTAATAAACATCAAAAGCCCGAACAGTACAATTATAAAGACAGTCAACAACTGGCTCATGGTTAATACACGTGTAGAAGGCAAAGTGTCCACAGTAAATCTTGAAAGGTGATGTTGATCAGCACAATGAACACCAAGAATTATAACGAGATAACAAGGGCAACCGATCACACAGCAGGGGAGCGGAGGCATAGCATATATCCTAGGCTAATATACAAACAGCTACCGGGATGATTCGACCCAATATCATTTTTCATCTTTGTGGGCACTTCAATATCAGCAGCTTCAAATGGTAGCGACTCAGAAGTAGCTCCCCATTCATGACACAAGGGAAAAACCGTGCCAGGTTTACTCTCACTTCAGTTTATGGATTTCAACAGAGGAATGTAAAAGAGGTTGCGGCTATAATTGGTCCCTTTCCTCGCTGTCAAAATTAAAGGCCTCGATTCCTCTGAGTGTGGTCTCATAGTTCTTAATTGTAAATGAATTCCGTCCAGAAGCATGCTTGTGCTCTGCAGAACTAATTGGAGAGCTTTGCTGGGCACTTGACACCTTACGGAATGTCCCTGGACTGGCCTCTGCAGTACGACTACGAGTTTGATCTGCCTCACTGCCCAGGATGTCTCTGCTACTAGAAACAGCAGCTCGCCTTGATGATCCGCTTGACCGTCCCAAAAATGCTGAACTGGAAAACTAAGAGGCACCCGTTCGAGATCAGGAATTACACAAATTAATCAATATATGTATCACAAGGCTGTATTAGAAGAATCATGCATCTGGGGTTTCATGAATCACAAGAAATCTAAACTTTTGAAATCCCTTGACAAAGCTACAAGCAATCTAAAATCAATAAATATATCATCGATAACAAACTCAGTCATTGACTAAGGATGGATAATTTTACATGATCAACTAACCTTAATGAAAATTGAACACGTGTACCTCGCTTTAAAGTGTAGTAGAACAGATGATCAGCTTGAGACTGAACTTTGAAGCTAGAAGACCATTGTAAACTTTGAGCACCAACAGTAGTATAAAGAACATGGTAAGCTTGGACTTATCATTTCCACATAACAGCTGCACTTTCACAGTCTTACTTCTATACAAGTATTTTTAACAATTCAAGTTCCTTAAAATCCATTTATGTCATGGTGAACTTTGATTACAAATTTCCCTGTAATAGTCAGAGTCACATGAGGCCATTATTTGATTTCCAGCAATTCAGCATGGTCCTCTGGACCTATAAATTACTCACAGAACCATGGGAAAAATGTGCATGCAGGCCTTTAATGCAGAAAGCAAGCATTACAGCTGTGATGGTGACAGAATGAAGGGAACCATCATACAATAAGGACATGGTAGAACAGGAGGAAGATTGACAAAGTATAAAGAATTAAGGAAATAAGAAGTTGGAGTAACCCAGAGAAACAGGTTGCATTTATGCAAACCGTGCACCTGGAGTAAGAACTAGAGGCTAGGAACAATGCATAAGGATCAAAAAGAAAAAACCTAAAGAAAGACATAGCAAATTAAATTATAGAATCAAAAGCATAATAAAATCCTCACCAGCATCATATAATCATAAAAAAATTCAGATGATACACAAAATAGCTAATCAATGTTCAGAGAACGTAAAGAACACTCATCATCACTTAATGTAAAGTTAACATGGCTTTGTCGTGCAGGTGGACCGGACCACATATGCAGACAACACAGTTATATGCATGTTTCCTTTATTCCTTTTTATTATTGTCATAATAAATGATCCATGACAATTTCTTTAAAAATACTAGACATTATTGACAACTTGCTGCTTGCCTACTTCTAACTTAAATAGGCTCTTAAAGAGTATAAATTCCAAGCGGTACTTGGATAAATATTAAACATATGAATAGTATAAAAACTCTATCATAATTCTTATATAGATTATTGAGCTCTTTCAACCAAAAACTTCTAGATGAATTTTAGTTACACTCCTAGGATGTCTTCTGATCTTAATAATCCAAATAATGGAGCAACTACAAATGTAGTAAAACTAGGAAGTCAAAACTCTTAAAAGGATTTGAAAGGCAATCTAGATTAAAAAAAATCAAGTTAAAAGATATCTTAGACTTCTGCCAGACTCTAGATAAAACATATTGAAGACTTGGCACAAAAAATAGTTAAAATAACCTACAGTCTTTTGAGGAAGAAATGGTTTACATTAACCATATGATTCACAAAGGATGAAAACATTTAAGAAATAACAATAATAAGTCAAGGGAAATGTTCCCTTGCCCGAGCCTCACTTACATGTCATTTGCTAGATAGATAACAAGGCCTGACATTGAAGGCTTAAGATCGAGTTCAGACAATTATAATCTTATAAGTACTGTCAGATAAATAAACTCACAATAGCCTCTCTACTGAAGGATGGATCATTCCCCATAGGAGATTTCTGCTTTGATAAGCTGCCTACAGTTACAGCTGGTTGTGTAACTTGTCCACGATGAGAAGAGTCCATTGCCAACCAACCACTTGTCTGTCCTTCCTCACCACCTAAACACAATCTTAAAAAGGTAAACCTACAAGCTCTGAAAATGGGATAACTAAATTCTTTTCAATAAGCTAGCAATAGTAATGGATTATAAACAATTGTGCTTTGAGAGCTGTGCAGTATGGATATAATAACCAAAACAAAGGTGGACTCTAAGAGTTGACCAACCAATTAGCATAAGCCAATGAAACAGCCAAGCGCGAGAAAGGAAAATTAAAGAAACAAGCAATAGCTTCTTAGAAGATTAGAAATGGAGTCAATTATAAGCAATAATAAGCATCAAATCAACAGATATAAGAAATGATGAATGCAGAAATGAAATAGAGCAGATCACCTGACTGCCTATCATTGGCAATGGCAGGAACCAAGCCAGAGCTAGGTTCCGCACTTGAACCCTAAAAATAGTAGAAAAGCTTATCCACTTGTTCAGGAAGTAAAAGGGAATAAACTTATAAATAACTGCATTGGACTTAACAATAGCACGTGGAGGAGCACCAGACATCTGTGACTGCTGATACTTTAAAATGGTCCAGTCAAATACATAATCAAACTGGAAACCTGCAGACAATAGATTAAAAAAAAATGATTGTTACAATGGATTCACAAAGTCTTCACTTCCATTAGTCATGTCATCATTCCATAGAAGAAATTCTCGATCCTTGACATATATAGAAGGTGAACCAACCTTCATGGATGAAAAGGTCACGAAACAATCTCTTGAGATATCCGTAATCAGGCTTGTCCTCAAATCGTAGTGAACGACAATAATGGAAGTATGAGGCAAACTCTGATGGATATCCCCTACATAAAGCCTAAGGGAACAATAAATTTTCCATCATCAAAACCATCGGCAAAAGGAATAAAAGCCCAAAGACATGACATATATAAGAGCTTGCCTCAATTGACGTGGCAACTTTCTTTTCACTAATTTTTTCATACTTCTGCTTCTTGGTTCCTGCTTTCAGACCCTGCCATGGAAGGCTGAAAGCACAAAAAACAAAAAGAAAAACCACTAGTTGAAATACATTAGAAACTTAAAAAATGAATTAGGGTGAAATCCAAAAGACCATGCTGGAATCAGTGAGATGCACAATTGACATAAAGAACCAGTGAGATGCAAAAGAACAGACCTTCCTCTTAAAAAGTACATAAGAACATATCCAAGACATTCCAAATCATCCCTCCTGCTTTGTTCTTAGCAGAGGAAAAACAACAGTCAGAATCTAGATTCAAGAAAACCACACAATTTCAAAGACACAGAAGATACAGAAGATACTAGTAAAATAGCCAAAAACTAAAACTAATCAACTTATAAAAGCAGATGCTAATAGAATAAAGAAACAAGAAAACATTCGCATACCTATGCCAAGATGTGTGTTCACGCTTGCATACCTTGCTGTCCCAGTCAAGTTCTTGTTCTCTCTGTGAGTAGATTATAACACAAGAAAGAAAAAGAAGGTAACTTCTGATCAGAAATAGTACATTCAATATGATCTGAATAGCTCCTAAGCAATACCACATCAGTCATACTAATTCAATGATAAAGTTGACCAGAAGACTATGCTGGAACCAGTGAGATTCAAACTCCAGCTAAAAGAAGTTTTTTGACTTATAGAAAACCCCATCCGTGGAACTTGGATGATGTGCTTACTAATTTTAAAGAGAAAGGATAGTGTGAATGATACTGATCCAAAACTAAATCTTACACCATGTAATCCAAACACCTGATCTTGATTCAAACATACAAAAAGTTCGTGCTGTAAAAACGCAATGTACTTGGATGATGTTAAATTATGTATCAGGTCAAAATATTACAAATGAACATTTAAATTTGTTTCATCATAGGTACAGTAGTTAAATAAGCAGAAGTTCAAAAAAAGAACTGATTTTCATTTATAGGTAATTTAGGTGCACTTGGTCATATTGACTAGTGTCAATTTTCCATTTAAGTGATTCATCATTAATCATGTTTGTGAAGCATCAAGGACTAACTTTATTGTCTCCTAGCTCTACATGTACAAGGAGCGGATAGTTTTACCGCATCCTAAATCAACATACTACACATCTAAATTAACACTATCTTCATTGGCCTCCATCTTGAAGACAACAGCCCAACTCATAGAAAATTATGTAGGAGAGATTTAAAAAGCTATACTTACAAGTCTACCACTCGAACGTCGATGCAATAGCTAAAACAGAATACTTAAGCAAATTGCTTAGTCGATTATATCTTACCTATATGGAATATGCTGATGAGTTGAAGTGTCCCTATACTTCTTGGCAAGGCCAAAATCAATAATATACACCTAGATGGAAATACAAAAGTCAACTCAGTAGAGCATAAGATGAACCCAATTATTAATTAATAAGCAGACAGTAAAAGTTCGAATTTTAGAAGCACACCTGATTAGCACGTCTACCAAGACCCATTAGAAAATTATCTGGTTTGATGTCTCGGTGCAAAAAGGACTTAGAATGCACAAACTCCACTCGATTAATCTGACACAGAAAATCATATTACATTAGATATGGCAAATTATAGCAATCAAAACAACCCCATTCAACAATGTTGGGCCTGTATGAAGATGCATAATTAGCATGGCAAAGTCGAAAGTATTATAAGCACATTATGGTAAACAAGGCAAAGATAAGGAGTAATTCAAGAAAAGACAACATTCATTTGATGACAAAATGAAGATTTGATGCATATGGAGTTGCTAGGAAACAAGAATATGATAGATATCCAATAAAGAGGAATTCTTTATATAATGGAAAAGGAAGAGTAGAAAAGACCTAAACATCAAGTGATAGCATCAGACATGCTAAAAAAAGGACTGTGGCGGAAGCTGCCAATAAGGGGGATTTGGTGATATGAAGGACACATCAAGCATATTCCCGATATTGAACAGCAGGATATCATGTCAATTCAGAAATGTGCATTACAGCAACAACATACCATTTGATCTGCAAGCATCAAAACAGTTTTTAGAGAGAGTTTTCTGCTGCAAAAGTTAAAAAGATCTTCAAGACTTGGTCCTAATAAGTCCATCACAAGCACATTATAGTCACCCTCAACACCGAACCATTTCACATTTGGAATTCCAGCTGCCAAAACAAATAAATAAAAGAAAACAAGGCAGATTAAGAAAGTGAAACCAAACCACCAGACAATAAAAGGAATCAAAATTTTCATTACTTCCTCCTTGCAGAATCCTGTACAGCTTTGATTCATATAGCAATTGGGGATGCTTTGTCTTGACATTTTCCTGATAAATAGGAAAATTCATTGGGAAAAAATTTATTCAAACCATTGCAAGTATTAAGTTATTCAGAGGATAAAATTTTTAAACTTCAATCAAACTACATTAAATTTTAGCTGATACATAAGGGGGCCTTGTTAGATGAGACTCCCACCGATGCAGGATATGAGGACTCAACAGAAAATGAGTATCAACGACAGAGAAAAATATTCATTATACAGAGCAAACATAGAAGAATATGGTGAAATTACAGAAAGAACAGAAAAAAGCAAATGGAAAAGTGAACAGGGAGCTTCAAGCGATACTAGTAATGCTGCTAGATCGTAGCATGTTTAAAAAAAAAACAGTCTGTAGCCAAGAATAAGCTGATGGACCAATCTAAATCATCTGTATACCAATTTATCATGTCGATCTAACTGAACACCTTAGCAACTGAAAATTTCGAACAGAAAGACGCACTCCCGGCAGCAAATAGATGAGACTACAAGCTACACTCACGAGTTTAATTGCGACTTCCTCGTTCGTTTGGATATTTGTACCTGCAACCAAGACGACAACCACAAACATCCCCGAGGAGCAAATTTTAGAGTTCCTGCAACAGAAAAACTACAGAGAATAGCTCTGACCCGAAGCAATCAAGAGGAGAAAGCTACTCCATACCTAAATAGATCTCCCCAAAGGACCCGCTCCCGATCTTGCGACCGAGGCGGAATTTGTTCCCAACGCGAGGTTCCATCCGACGACCACAGTCACAAGCAGGAGACTCACCCAAATCGAGCTGAGTTGTAACCCGAGCAGCAAAACTCGTAACAGAATCCCCCCTCCGCCGCCGATGTCGCGAAGCAGCACTACCGGTTCACCCGAGGCCAGAAGAAAATCCCAATAAATCGACGACGCGGAGACAAGAAACGAGATCGGCACCCATCAGTCGATGGCAGCATAGATGGAATCTGAGGTCGATCGGAGCCGTAGGGTCTCCAAATCAAACGAAATCGCTCCACTAATTAGGGTTTCAGCGGGATCGGGAAGCGGAAGGGAATCCCCAGTCGAGGACGCTTTGATCCAATATAGGCCGCGGTTGCGATAACGGACAGGACACTACACGAGTCCTGTCTCCGTCTCGTGAGGGTAGATAGATATCCATTGATAGCCTGCGACGGGAGGAGGGGGTTCGCAACCGTCGCGTGTTCTGCAGTATAATTATTTCTCCGAACTCGTTTCCGAGATTAATTTCGAAATATTTCTGAGATTGTATTATATGAGTTGGCAATTAAATTATTTTTTCGTTAACATTATCTCATTAAATTATGTGATATAATATATAATTTCTATCTTAAACTTTAAATCTCAGTAATTGAAATCTAAAAATATCATTGATCAAGAAATGCTATTATGTCTTTATTTTCTCTTTTCATATCTCATGATATTAGAGACAAGGTGTTCTCCTATAACATTTAAAAAGAGATAACTTGAAATAATTCATCTTTAAGATTAAGAATCAATTTCCATTAGTCAATATCTTGAATGAGAATCTAATTAAGCTTAAAAAATATCTTACGATGATTTATTGGATCACATAATCTAATATTTGGAGTTTTTTATGAGCAACTGGTTTGCTTCGAAAAGCAATTGGAGAATGTGATAGTTGCTTATGAGATCATGTTGTTGGAATTTCTTTTATAGATGTTGTGTATCGTAGCATCGTAGAACATCAGGATAAAAAACAATTAACCTACAAAGGTGTCTTTACTGAGATAAATGTTTTTGATATTATAACATAAAGTTTCACAAATAAGAAAGATTCATTTTGTCTTGATTTTTATATTCATCCTTTACATGATATTGAAGAAATTATTTGAAAACTCACTTGATTCATAAAAATATAATATTGATTTATAATTTAAGTAATTTATTTATTTTAAATTCAGATTATAAAAATAACAAGTCCATTTATTTTTATAGTGAACATTATCTCATTAAATTATGTGATATGTATGTAATTTCTGCTACAAACTTTAAGTCTCAGTACTTCGACAGTAATATGAAGTAATTAAATAAATCTAATTCTTCAACATGCTCTTTCGAAATGAATGGGCAAAGGGTAAGTTCATGTATACATCAGGAAGCAAACACCACTACCAAGTGTAACCATACACACAAAAACCTCACCAATTTGTTGTCATAATGTGTGCCCATATGCATCGCAAATAAGACGGATAAAATCATGTTACCATACTACTTGACTGCTCTATTTAATACAAGGACGATCAACTCCTATTATGATGTAATTTTGGAGGTCAAGGATATGCCTGCTGCTCAAAGATCAAGCTGAAACAATATAATTTTAATATTCCAATCATTTTAAAGAAGGTAATGCAAACTGTGAAGGTCACTTGAATAAACGGATGCTATTTGATTATTGCATTTCCATGGTCGGTCGGAGCTTTTCGATATGTTTAAATTGGTCAAAGTTGAGGAAATTACAAAACTTGGGATATTCTTTGACTAGTTGGGAACACGATACAGCTTGCCGAAGACATGTAAGACAGCAACGATAGCAATGAACCCAATGCTCATGATGAGGACGGTGTTGGGTGACATTTTGCGGCCGGCTGTCTCATCTGTGTAGAACTGGAGCATCGTATTGGCACCTGCAGCTGCACCAGCACCACCCGTCCTCCTCCTCCGCATGCTTGCAGCTGCTGCCGCGCTGCCCCTACTTGGTGCTTCGCCATTAGCCACCATCTTTACTCGGATATCTAGAAAACGGATAATAATGTAAGACCGAGAAAGAATATAAATCATTCTATTCAGGAAGGATATAATATTTTTTATTTTTGTTCCGATTGTGCAAATCGGTTTATTTGTGTTGTTGACATAGTGACTTGCAACACTATTGCAGAAAACGATATCCAGGTAGCCACATCTACACCAGTAATCGGAAAGACAAGTGAACTATCACCAAATCCAAGTTGGTTAGTTCCTTTGTGCAAGCTATGATTGTCAGTGTGCAAGCTTCACATTACTATACTTTATGTTCTGGTTCTGGTAACATCGTACACTAGACCAGTATATTGATGCTGGGCACTGTAATAAATTGTCTAACTCATAAAAAACTAAAGCTTTTGCTTACTAAGATATGGATAGCAGCAACAGTTAACATTCCACCAGCTAAAAGAATTGGAACTAACATAAGGTAACGATTCAATTGAATGGAATTACTACTGGGGATCTTAAGCAGGCATGATATAGTGTAATTACGTAAAATATAGAATCTCGTATCGAACTTACAACAGGTAAATTTATCAAGCACACCAAGATTCCTTTAATCGATAGTGTGGTTCCTTAGGGAGGAATATAAGATATAGAAAATAGAAGTTTAAATGACAAACACAAAGAATTAAGTTATATAACTCAGACAGCCAGGATTTATATTAATTTGGATTTATACTCCCTAATATTGGCTAAACAGTAACACTGGCATTAGAAGCTGAGAAATTGAAAACTGCACACATAAAGATGGTAACTCACAGGAAATTGAGCAAATCAACTAAGCAAATATCTAGTTCAACTTGTAAAGAAGTTCAATGTATTAGTACATTATTAGGCGTATCACGTGTACCGAAACCTTAAAGAAGATGAGCAGTTTAACTAGAATTGTGAAATACAAACTACAACGATAGAATTGTGTACAATGCCTAATCTGTAACATGCAAAAAGATGATAGAGAAACTGCATTGCACATAGACATTTAAGTAAAAGCAAACATCATTAGAAGATAGCTCGATCTGCTTCTCCCTCAGTCAGACAATTATTATAAATAATCAAAGTTTTTGTCATAATTGTAACGTCCAATTGACGAGGAAGATAAATTATTAGAGTACTACTCTCTGTGAGCAAAGAGGCCAAACGAAACATACTGTTAAAGAAATTTGTGGGATGCATTAAAAGAAGGTCAATTCTCTGTTGATCCTCGGCACAAGGCCTTCGATTGCAAGAGCACAAGTGATAGATAGGCTATACTCAACTTTCCACTTCCTAATTGTGTGCGTATTACCAAAATTAATTACATATGCGAGAAAAATAATGAAAAAAATCAAATTGCAACTCTTAACAAAAAAAAAAACAATATTCTTGAAATTAACAATCGTTTCGATATTGACAAAAAAACAATTCCTTCAATATTTTCTTGGTTTCTAACATGATTAATCTTAACTGGGCCAAGAACGGATCCCCATCACCATCTGAAAGCAGAAATCAAAGAAAAAAATTTAGAGGACAAAATCCCACGAAACAGTATCAACGCCCACGAATCAGGAAGCAGATCTGCTAATCAAATACCAAGAGTTTCAGATCTCTACGCCCCGTACCACGGAGTCGAAATTTGCCGTAAATCTAAAGAAGAAAAGGAAAACCAAACAGATCTGGCAGTCAAACGCGAGAAGAAATAGATACGAGGCCAAATAAGCACCTTCGACAGGTTAAAGAGGACAAAGGGAGAGGGAATAAAGAGATAAAGAACGCAGCGATCAAGCGATGACGTGAACTTGATCTGCCCCTAGACGAAACCCAGTGCCACCGATCGGTTGATGAGCGAAAACAAGATGGCGATTTCTCGGGAATGAGCAATCAATAGGTCGAAGATATCAGAAAAACGAGAGAGACGCACCTGAAGGAGAACTGCTCGGGGCGGCGCGACTCGATTCCTCTGCAGGATCCTCAAGACAGGAGGCGGCGCAACTCGGTTCCTACTCTGCTGGCTCTAAACAGGAGGACGTGCATCCCGTGTAGGCAAAGAATACGTTACACGTAGCTGCCCGGCCCGGCCCGGCCCGGCCCGTTAAATAAGCCCGTGACACTAAAAACTTTCTACAATAAAAAATATATATTTTAATTATTAATAGTTGATCGATCTTTTGCATTGAAACAACTTATGACACATCGATATGATTGATATATGCTGTCATCATACGTCTCCTTCCTCTTTGATGAGTGAGTATTTGTTGCAGTGTTTTTGTTGTTTTATTCATGCATAGAACTCCGGTCCGATCATATCGGGCCGGTCTAATTTCAGCTCATCAAGGTTTATTTCCATTACATTCCGTGGGCGTCTCATGTAAATATTAGCAAACCCAGCGGCCCATTCGCGCTCGCTTTGTTCGGTGGCTTGCATCTCACGCCCACGGCTTCCTCTTCCTCTCCTCTCGTTTCCGGAAGGAAACCCTAAGTTCGCATTCTTCTGCACCTCCGCGACGATGGTGTTCTACATCCTCGACTTCACTGCGGAGCTCGAGAACCTTACCAACCTCCAGCAGCGGGACGGCTGCAGCGATCCCAATTACACCTATTACTTCAAGGTCTCCGCTACTCTCCTCCTTGGTTGACCCCTTGTAGTTCCGATCTCGCTGGTTTTGGATCGAATATAAGGGATTTCTTGCTATTATTGAGATCAGGTGAAGTGCGAGAACTGTGGGGAGATCAGCCAGAAGGAGACCTGCGTGGTGCTGTCTGAATCGGTCCCGCTCCCCAATGGAAGGGGTACTGCCAATCTCGTGCAGAAGGTACATCGTCTTCCTTCGATGCCTTCCATTTTCTTCTTTGATTGTGGAAATTGTGGGTTTCCAAGTTTGCATGTACTGTAGTTGTGATACATATGCACCTTGTATCTCCTTTCTTCTCAACAGCTGTGTGGACGATACATGCTTCTGAATAAATCATCAGTCAAAGTTAAAGCAACATCATTGGGTTCGATGGTCAACCAGAAAAATGCCCGGTAAAACGCAGGGCAGAGTTTCTTCTTGTACATCTTAGGGAGTCTAGGATTTATTTTCCGTTATGCATAGACATCTATATTCGTTGGCTTTGAAGCACAATTATCATATTCCATTGTTCTCTCAATGTGATCATGCAAAGTCCATGAAGCGTTTTGTGACGTGTGGTCAGTGTAATAAATTGTCATGTTTCTGTTAGGTTCGCCTATATTAATATTGTCCTATTCTAATTAATATATGTTAGATAATTTCAAAGCAGTAATTTTGGGTACGTTTTCTTGAATTCATGGGTCATATTTTGGCTTTATGATTTGATGTGGTTGAGAAGCCATATAATGAGCATGGTTCTGTTTATGACTAATCTCAAGTTATTACTTGGTTTTGTTTGTTTTAGCTCTGTCTTACCTGTTGGATTAGTTAAAATCTCCTCTTTGGCAACTAGATAATGGCAGTAGATATGGTTCTAGGCTAAACATGCCTTCATGTTTATTCTAGTATTTATTTTCAGGGATGCTGCCTAGAATATTGCTTTGAAAATTAGTTTCTGAGCACCATCATGCTGGCTTGCTTTCTTATGCTTAGTGCTAAGCTCTTTGCTAGGTACTAGCTTTCTTTCCTGTGGAGAATACAACAGAGAGAACATCTATAAATTTGCCTTTTTGTTTCTCCCAGTGAAGCATGTAGTATATGGAGCGTGGTACTGTTTCTCTTGATGGAATTATGTTGCCAACTTACTTTAGGAGGGTAGGAAGTCATGGAACAGGCAAGGGATGAAGCAAAACCCTAGAAGACTTTTAATTTGATTATTTTACATAAGAAAAATACTAATCTTCATGCTGTGTTAGAAGACTACATAATGCGGTAAATCATTTTGACGATAGCTAAATTATTTAGATAAATTAAAAATTCATTTTTCTTCTTTGGTATAGCTTTTCCAACTGAATTAATATTTTCTTTGATATATGCAATAATTACTTGTAAAATTTGGCTTGCATGTTTTGATTGGGAGAGTTCATTTGGACTGAGAGTCACTTTTTTAACGAAAGGCACTCTAGCAAGTCCTTGAGGCATCTAGTAGCAGAAAAAAAATGTTTTACAATGTGAATAGGAAACATGACAAGAAAAAAAAGACTGCAAAGCTTTGAATGAAACCACTGAACTACTAAATGTGATGATTGAGAATAAGGCTTTGGTAAAGTTGACTGCAGAGTGCAGAGTTAAATGATAATTATTCAATTTTGCATACAGCTTAATTAAAAAAAAAGGGGTATCTTGCTGCTAAGAGATTCCTTTAAAGAAACTACTAGTGATGATTTTTCTGAACACAAAAGTGACACCTTCCACCACTGGAGTGAAAAAAAAGTTTTCAGCCAAAACACCATATAAGCTTCCCTTTCCATAGCCTTGTTTATCTCTCTAGATATATAAGCTCATTTCATATTAAGCTTGCAAGTATAACAGGTTCATAGCCTTGTGGACTTCTATTCTCATTTGTTTCAGGATGATAGTCCATAGAATAGATATGATGTGTTACTGTAATATGAAATGTTAACCCACAATAGTTCTCAGTCATCCTTGTTTTAGTTCATGGGCAAACTTTAGAAACTTTACTTTTCCTGTAAAATGAAATTTCCTTTGCAGGAAATCTTACTCTGAGCAGATTTTGATGTCCGTAAGAAGGCAACTTGTGGAGTTGTGTTCATGTTACATGTTCACTGGAAATTTGTTGTGATGTAATAAGGGTCACTTTTTCCTCTTCCGATGAATGAACTTTTTTCTAGATGCATTGACAAGCACACAACAAGTGAGCAATTGGCACATTGCATCAGCATTTTCTAGAATTTGGAGTGGTGCAACAAATGAAGATGAAACTAAGCAGTACCAAAACATCATGCTAATGTGATTTGGTTATGTTATGGCTGCTCACTTGTTATTGATTGCTTTATTATTGAGCGCTAGTATGATGTATGGCCTATGATTAATATGTTGTTTCAGAGCAAAATTCTGGTATAACTCGTGTCTTAACTTAATTTGAAATATTACACATGCCTTTCATGCCTTAATAATTTCGATATGCAATTCCAGCTTACAGTAACCAATTTGATTGTCTTGCAGTGCAAGCTTTGTGGGAGAGACGGAACAATTCAGATGGTTCCTGGACATGGTGAACCATTGACAATTGAACGTAGCCAGGCTGGGATCAGGTCCAAATTGATGGTCTTCGACTGCAGGGGCTTTGAACCTGTTAACTTCTCTTTTGAAAATGGATGGAAAGCAGAATCTGTGAGTATCCCTGGTTTCTAATCTTTTGCAGAAATTGTTCTCGAGCCCTTGATTTTCTGGCTCCTTGTTTAATAGCTTTGGACTCTGCACCTTTGTGATCAATGCCTTGTTTAATTTTCTGGCTCTTTGTTTTGAAAATTCTAGTGGCCTCTTGCTAATGTTAGTGTATATACTGCCAACAAAAAGTTATGAGCTTCTTTTTGGATTCCTTCTTTAGAAGGAAAAATGTTAACAATTCTGTCTTGAATATGGTTCCTCACACAATAAATAGGTGACATGCTGTATCTAGTTTGTAAGCCCTGCTTAATGAGAATGCTGACCTAGTTTTTGGTTTGCTGCCCTATTTTGCCGTCAGAAAACAGTTATCATCTACCAAATCTGTAACCATGAAAATTGACACATGAAAGCTTCCTGCATCAACATCAATGCTTTCTTTTTCTTTGTTTCATCAACTTAAATAAATAATATGTTCATTTGTATAAATTATCAATTTCACGTTATATACAGGAATTCAGGAATTCTAACATCATTAGATTATGGGAATAATACATTTCTTCCCCCTTATAGCTTATCAAGTTTTTTTTTTTTTGTAACTTGGAAGAAGTTTTCATTACATTAAACTGTGTACAAGATGCTTAAACATGGACTCGAACCTAAAACCCATTACTTATGCCAATAATACATTAACCACTGGAATATCTTAGCAAAGACTAATCTCAATAGAGACTATCAAGGTTCATCTAGATGACAGTTCATTTCATCGAGGTTCATCTGGATGATGGTGCTTTTCATCAAGGTTCATATGGATGACAGTGCTTTTCATCAAGGTTCATTTGGATGACGGTGCTTCTCATCAAGGTTCATCTAGATAATGGTTCTTTTCATCAAGGTTCATCTAGACGATGGTGCTTTTCAATTTTCAAAGATATAATTATATAAAAAGTAATTTGTATTTTTTTAATAAGAAGAGAGAATTAATAAATTCTCAATAAAGGAAAACTCTTCTTATAATCAATAATCCATGAAGGTCTGGGTTATATGGTATTGCACCTCTCTCTCTCTCTCTCTCTCTCTCTCTCTATATATATATATATATATATATATATATATATATACAATTATACATACATATATATATATATATATATTCAAGATTGAGTAGTCTGAAATTGTGGAGCACATTCTAGAAGTCTTTTTTAAAAATTGTCTATTGCTCGAGTCCCTGTACATGATAGGCAACGACATTGACATACTAGACATCCACTCCTACAATCTCCACCGTTTAATATTCTGGTCTGAAAAAATAGTCCATCTTCTAGGTATCAATGCACTTAATCTATGGACTCTTTGGGTCTATGTTAGTGAGTAGCTAAAAGGCTTACTCATTGAAGCACATAAGGTCCACCGTCCAGGAGACCTATCTGGACTTCTCTCTTCGCCTCCTCTTGGTCTTCAGAAATTTGAACTTGCCGTGAAGGGCATGTCTTGTCTTCAGAATTTTTAACTTGCTGTTCTTACTGTGGTCTAACTGAACTGTGGATTCTATCTTATGATACAAAATTCTGAGATACTTCAAGGTTGATTGCCAATTATTGTTTTGCTGTCAATTTCTCTTCTAAACCATTCTCGCACTACAAAATGGTCCTTCTAGAGATATTTTTGGAAACACATCCTCTTAAATAATTAAAACTTTTGAGTAAATTTGCTATTGAAAAGCAGAGTACTCCTGTTTTGTAGAACACTTTTCTAGCTTAGCAGTTAGCCCATACCCTCTTTAAGTACTACACCACGTACATTGTCACAAGACTGATGTCTTTTCTGAATGTCACACAAATTAACATGGCAGCAATTATATTTTTTTTGCACATTTATGCCTTTGTAATTCTGAACTTCACATCCCCATGCAACAGCTTTTGTGATGTGAATATAAAATTTCAAGGATCAGTTTGGACGGTGCAAACCAAAATTTAATCTTGGAATAAGAGATGATCAGACAACTTCATATCCAAAGATGGCTTAAAAAATAGGTTAGTTGTTATACTTTCTGCAACTGGAAGGATAGCATCTGGAAACTTATTCCCTACAAGGAACAAACTGGTAGAAATACATATGTAAAACAGGGATACAATCGGAATGTTCCAAAGTTATCAGCCATAACTATCATTACAGACTAGTTGGTATATAATTTTTTTTCTTTTTCGCTGAATGTATGTTTCTCTCTGTATATTGACTGGTTTTTTTATTATAGGCAAGCCGCCCCAAACATAAGTTTGCAAAATCATTTCTAGTTATATTTTTAATGAGAATTAGCATATTCTTATCCATATCAAAGATAATGAATTCTTTAGGTTTTTTCAATATAAACATAAGCTAGCAAAAACGTTTTTATTCTTTTTAATGAAAGTTTGTAGGTTACTAGGTTTATATCCATAATGAGCTTTAGACTTCCCCCCCTTCAATTAGAGCTCTTTGTTACACTTTCTTTTGGAGTTTGGAAGTTGGTATATTCTGAAAAGTAACTTCTATGAGCTGCTAGAACCAAGGTTCATCGTACCACAGTGTTCCGCTTAGTATGGGCAATATGTTTCGATCTGACAGGAGACCGGTATGAGCGGTATATCGGTATGCTTCCATGTATCATGTGTCGGTATGTTTGGTATGGCTTGGTATAGCTCGGTATGTACTGTACCAATAGCTGGTCGATATATTGGTATGGACCAGTAAGGCAAACCATGTCTAGAAGACTAGAACAACCTCTGAAATGTCATAGTTTCTTGTAGCTCAACTTATAGGTTTCGCTCTTGTTTGTTTTTGACATTTTTATTGATGAGACAGCCCTCTGTTCAGTATTACCTTAAAGTACAAGTGTCAATTAGACTCGTGGGTATGGGTACCCATGGGGATCCATCCCTTGTGTGGTGGGGATGAGGATGGGGATTGGGATAGTTTCTATTACCTGCGTGGATATGTGGTGGGGACAGGTAGTACACTCCCCACCCTGCCCTTGTACCCATCCCCACCCTTTCAATATGTGGGCCTATATGTTGGACTCGGACACCTGACCCGCCTGATTCAAATCAGGCTGGGTCGAGTTGATTGCGAATTAATTGCTAGCAATTTGGTTCAGATAAAACAATATCAACATTCAATAGTAACACCTCTCTCCCCACGGCTTGCATGTTGGAGGAACGGATTCAACATTTAACAATTGTTATTATTTGTAATTGTTAATTAATTTGAATTAATTAGGAGAATATTCAAAACCTATAGGTTCCCCGTCCTGCCCCCACCCCGTTTAAATGGGGAATAGGGTGAGGATGGGGGATGAGATGGGGATGAGGAGCACTTCCCGCCCCGCCTTGCTTGTTGAGAGTCCTGTTCCTGTGCTGTAGTACCCTCGTAAGTGTTATTTCATAAATTTGTTAGATGACCTGCTTCTCTTGGTAAAAGTTGCTAGTCTCTTCATTTAGAAATTGACCTCTGTTAAGGAACCAATTTGTTGTGCTTCTTTATGATTTTCTATATTGGGTGAAGTTTACAATGTATGCCATGTGCTATATATATGTGGATTAAAGGTTCTAATTTTTTGACCTGATAATCTTTATTCTTTAGCTGAGTGGTACAAGCTTTGAGGTCGATTTGTCTGAGGGTGAGTTTGCAGATTATGATGAGAAAGGAGAATGCCCCGTTGGCATAACCAATCTTCAAGCATCTTTTAGAGTGGTAAGCTTGACAGGATCAATTATCTTGACATCATCTGCATCCTAGGCTGATAATCAGTATATTCTGTTCTTGTTAGTCTGCTTTCAAATATTTGTTGGTTTACAATGTTTTGATGATGCATTTGATGTAATACTTTCAGGCAAAAAAGCAAGAGCGTGCAGGGAAGACGACCTTTGTTTGATGTCAGCATATCCAGAATCAAGAATCTGCAAGATGTAGAAAAGTATGGTTTCATTGTGTTGAACTTCTACAGCTTAATGATTGCCTTACTTGTTCTCATCATTATGATGATAATCATGGGTAAATGTCCTTTCTGCATTCTCGTTTTCTCGTTGGACATGTTATAAACTCTGGCTGAAATACTTTTGTTTGCATAAGCATGTATGTTTGGGAGTGCTAACATGACCACTAGAACTCTGGGCATGGTATCGGAGACTCTTCTTTCTTTACTAATTTTGATGGACATTTCAGGAATTGAGCAGGAATTTACTTATGCTATAGCATCAACCATAGCAGAGACATTGTTCATGGATGAACTGATTATATGGAACATAAGTGTTTACGTTGATCGCACTTGTGATACTCTCGTGTACATGCTGTTTGGAATCAATGTGATTTGTCAGCAGTTGCTGCACTTGTGATCTTCTAATGTGTACCAACGATTTCGTAGTCAATCAGCCTGCTATAAGATTAATGTGATACATGTATTTTATACTTGAGCATGATTCAAGGATACTGCCACTTGCATTACTAGGTTGGGGCACCCAAAGTTCAATATCTGTAGGTGTTCTAAGCAGGTCATATTACCTTAAATCTGCTAGGATGTCGAGTAGGCATTCGATTTCTGCACCTCTAGCCTTTCAATTTGTTCCTATGATGTATTTTTAAGGATGAGATTTCTGAGCCTGATTTTTTTTTTCTCTCATTTTAGCTTTTATGTTGATCACATTACTTTTGTTCTTTCACCGCAATCTACACATCCCTCGTCTTCTCAGCGTAATCGTTCTTGCCTATCTTTTGTGATCGTTCTTGTCTATCTTGTCTATCTTATAATTTCACATTGTCAGTCGTCGTAACTGTCAGTCTCCTTCCTCTGTCTTTTTCTAATTATCTTATATCTATGATAATTTTATTTTATTTATACTTAAATTTTTTTATTATATAAAAAATTATAATTATTAATTAGATTTAATAATAATTTTATTTTTAAAATTAAAAAACGAAAAATTCATAAATTTCCAACCCCGAGTGAAGATTTTCTATCTTCAGATCGACACTATTCCTAGCCGTCCATCCTACTACTTTTCGTGTCGATGTCAGATGATTATTATTTGTGCTCGACAGTAACGTGTGATGTCGCCCTCATCTTCCTCGTTTTTCACGTGAAAAATTTGTTTGAAAACAAACAAAAGGAAATAGGACAAGAGTTTGGTTGCGCAATAATAAATCTCAATTCTACAATTTAAATATAGAAAACCCATAAATTAACATCAGAAGATTATGATAATATTGCAATATATCTACAAAAAGCCTTAAAATAACGTTAACAGCACCTTACTGTTCTCTTTAATCGTTGCTATTATTCCACGTATAACTCGAGAATTTTCGAGGCTTCATCGAGCAATGCATTTGACACCACCTTCTTTTTTGTAATGTGTCACGTGGTGCAAACCCCGAATCGAAGTTAGACACGAATAGTTTTCTTACCTCTCCTGATTCCCCATCGTCGGTTACTTTTCTTCGGACTGGAAGAACAAACTGGTCCCACATATGGGTCCACTAACGCCTCGTGACTATGACCTATGATAAAGCAGGTAGCCGAAAGGGTTACTCAGAGGGGTGTAAATTATTTACTCATCAGTCGAAATCACGACATTTCGCTCGCCCTCCTACCTTTGATCTCCACTAAAACCCCACGGGACCTCCAAATTCTTCGTCTTCTTCGGCTCCTCTCGTCGAGGAGATTCGTGATGGATTTCTCCGGATTGATCGCTTTGGTCCTTCTTTTTGGTCTGTTGAACTCGGTGCGCGTCGCAAGATCCAAGCTTGATGACGCGGTGGGATTCTTGGAGAGGGCCATGGAGCCGGAGTTCTTCGATTGGATGGTAGGGGTGAGGCGGAGGATCCACGAGAACCCCGAGCTCGGGTACGAGGAATTCTCCACCAGCGAGCTCATCAGGAAGGAGCTGGATGCTTTGGGGATCCGTTACCAGCATCCGGTCGCCGTCACCGGGGTAGTGGGTTACGTCGACACCGGGAAACCTCCCTTTGTCGCCCTCAGAGCCGACATGGATGCCCTGGCGATGCAGGTTTGAATTACCTGGAGCTTCATCAGATTTCATTTTTCCGTAGGTTTTGGGCGCTAAATCGATCGAAAGAGCTCCGCTTGATTCATTTTGGTGCTCCCTCTGATTATACTTGTTTCCCAAATTTAGCAGCATTTAGGTGAAATAGATCGATCATATACCATTTTACGTCTAAGACCACCAAGTGGTGTAGCATTTAGATTTCCCTGGTGTCATGGCTTATAGTGTGATATGTTTACTTGCATATGACTGTTTTCAGGCTAAAAATTAATGTTGCTGTGGATAGGAGAACGTGGAATGGGAGCGAAAGGGGCAGGGGAAGATGCACGCATGTGGCCATGACGCACACGTCGCGATGCTTCTTGGTGCTGCTAAGATTCTTCAAGAGCACCGTGATGATCTCCCGGTTTGTCATTCATCATTAATCGATCTTACTATATATGTTGTATATTTTCTTAATAAATGTTAGCCTTCATGTATTCAATCAGGGCAACACTATGTTTTGGGAGACATATCCTACCAACTTTTATGGACATTAATGTTTTGTGGAGATCAATTTTCTGCAACCTAGACAAAGAATAAGTTCCCTTCCTTTTCGCCAACATGTTTCGTTAATGAAGATCTGCGTCACGATGCGCAAGACATCATTGCCGAGTTACATGTAGGGAATTTCTCTTTTATATAGCCTTTGCACAAACCACCTGCCGTGACCAACAACTTGTTCGGCATCTCTCTGTCTTTTCTTTAACAGAAAAGGTTTTAATTTTTTTTAGCTCCATTATGTTTCCTATAGAGCACATAATATCAAACATATGTAGAAAGTTGACATTATCTATATAATAGTCAAGAGTGATCCTTTTGGCCACCATGATAATTTTTTCAGTGAGTTTGCTGAAACCGTGAGAATTATGTTGTTCAGAAGAAGCCTGATCTCCTTTAATTGAGGATTTATTTTCTTTAATCTTTTAATCTCTTTTAATAGGCAATCAAAGATGGTTCCTTCTTGGTCTATTCCCATCTCCCTAAGGGCTCCCTGAAATCAACTTTTAATCTGTATCAGTTGAATAAATTTTCATCCGTGTGTTTTCCCATATAAAAATGTTTCTTAACTCTATCTGGATATTGTGCATAGGATGTTTTTATCTTTATCAATTGGGGGAGATAAATTTCTGTGTGCTCTTCGATGGCACTTGATTGATTAGTCAATTTCTCCGTATTACTTGATCTTTAGATATAGCCCCTCTTTCAAGTTTACAATATCGATGATCCCTGATATATAATATGAATGTTGCATGAAAGGGTTTGCATCTTGAGGCATGCTTGTCTCTAGCTCTGAATGATTGCATGAGTTTTGAAACTTTTAACGTTTTAAGTTAACATGGACGAAATGTTCTCACCATCTTCTTTTGGTGAAAGAAAACGATAACTAACCATTTTTCTCCCATGCTTTATCCCAACAGCAATAGAAAGAACCTACAGACATGTGCACAAATGTCTTTTGGGACAGAAAAAATATGAAACACATGCATGTTTTAGAAGCATGTAGTAGGCCTTAGTTGATTAGTGTGGAAGATTTTTGGCACACTAAATTCCAAAAAATTAATATCACATGATCAATGATAAAGCCATTATAATCAAAAGATAATCATATATTTATGAAAGTTGAGATCGAAGTAATGACATGATTTGCTTAGGAGCAAATGTTGGAGCTTAAAAACACTGATTCCTTGAATCGTAATGCTGGATAGCCCATGCATTGTGGATGATTACCAGGTTTCTCGTTTTTCAAGTATGCCTCTTCTGTTTTGTGCACACTTTGTGCCCTCCAGGTTCTTTTGAAATATGTTGCTATATGTGTCAGATAGCATTTAAATGTCTCTGCCAAGTGCTAACAATATAAATCACCTTCCTCCACTAAAGACTACCAACAACATTCTGGGTCTTGATTGAATGAAATCATATTAAGCTAATTTTTTTTTTTCTATAGTTGCATTTAGCCGACTTTCCTTCACCATGTAATATTTTCCTTATTTCTGGTCTCCTATATAACAAGCTCTTCCGACATCATTACCTGTTAGAAGTATGAGTAATTTTGTGACCTCTGATTTTGTTTTTATATTGGATTATCCTTGTTGTGGCACCTTAAAGACTGTAGTAGAGTGGCGTCTATTTTTCCTATTATTCTGCTGCTGAATTATTTGTTATCCTTCCGGTCTGGACAGTTCTTGTGTACCAGTCCTTATGGAGATCAAGTTTCTTGATTTTAGAATGAGCTGGCTAGGATGGATTTAGATTTCGATTGATGTGACCACCTGTTCTTAGTGTTCTGATTATGACTGTTCTTGTAATAGGGAACTGTTGTCCTCCTTTTCCAACCTGCTGAGGAAGGAGGTGGCGGAGCAAAGAAAATGATAGATGCTGGAGTTGTTGAAAACGTTGATGCTATCCTTGGGTTTCATATAACTAATGATGTACCTCTTGGTGTCGTGCAATCCAGGCCTGGACCTACAATTGCTGGGAGTGGGACCTTTGAGGCTGTTATAAGTGGAAAGGGAGGTCATGCTGCCATTTCTCAGCACACGATAGATCCAATTTTGGCTGCATCAAATGTGATTGTGAGCTTGCAGCATCTTGTCTCACGTGAAGCCGATCCTTTGGATTCACAGGTTTCTTTCTTTTCCTATGTTTTATGTTATGAATAAGTGTTCAAAAGAATTCATGTGCACATATCCATTCCTTTTCCTTGTCTTCTTTCCTTTGGGTGCCTCTGTGGTTGTGGAATCCACACTGGTCGTGTTCTCAACCAAAGGCTGGCCTTCTCAATGGCGCTTTCAATTTCATACTAAGCATCTCTAAAGTAACATACAAAGATAACAAGAACAATTAATCTGTTCTACTTATTACTTGAGAAGTACATTACGGGAGGCTTGACTCAATCAACCCCAGGAAGCCACTCAGTGTGTACTAAACCTGAAATGACTGTCTTGTATATTGCATGATGTTAGGACTTGTTTCTATCTCTTAAAATAATAGAGAATAGTCAAAGGTACTATATAAAAATACTATCTAAAGATAGCATCCATGGATTTTTTTTTTTCCTTGAATTTTGATGTGATTGCTTATCAAACAACATGATGATAAATAACCCTGTAAAGGAAGCTAAGACCCTTCCAAACTGAAGATAGCACGGTGACGCTACATAGAAAATTTGATAAAAGAGTACAGGTCACAAGCATTTGGCGACTTCTGGATGACAATATAGGTTTTTGCTTATTCAATTGTGCTTTCCTACATGCTTAAATTCACCTAAGCAGTTAGGTTTTGTGAGAACCTTCTGTTCAGGTGAGAAAAATTGATTACTCATTATTTTTCAATGTAGGTAGTAACAATTGCAAAATTTCAAGGAGGAAAAGCGTTCAATGTGATTCCAGATTCAGTCACCATTGGTGGCACCTTCCGAGCATTTTCCAAAGAAAGGTTTTTTCAACTCAAGCAATGAATTGAAGAGGTCTGACATCTAACTATACTCTCAAATTTTACTTGCATGCTTGTTACAACCAGCTGTGGAACACACTGGTTCAGCTCTAAATCTAGTGGAGAATTGAGAATGTGTGAGCTTTCATGCATCTGGCTTACACTGAATACATTATATTCTCTTGGTTTCTCTAACAGGTGATTGTTGCACAAGCATCTGTTCAGAGGTGCAGAGCGACTGTTGACTTCCTCGACAAAGATCATCCTTTCTTCCCTGTTACAGTCAATAGCAAGGATCTCCATGTGCATTTCCAGAAGGTGGCTGCAGAGATGCTTGGAATTAGCAACGTACAGGAAAGAAAGCCAGTCATGGTAGCTGAAGACTTTGCTTTCTTCACCGAGGTTGTCCCTGCTGCATACTACTACTTCTTCGGGATGATGAATGAGACACAGGGACCAGTGTACCCTGCGCACTCACCATATTTTACAGTCAATGAGGCAGCACTCCCCTATGGTGCAGCACTTCAAGCCTCTCTGGCAATAAGATTTCTGTTTGAGAACCACACCCCCTCTATCCACCATGAATGTTCACGATGAACTCTGAATACATTTCATCATTCCTGGTGTCCTCCATTGCAGAAGAGCCTGAAGCCAAAAATCCTATATTTAGGTAAGATTATGATGTACATTTATATCGACACCAGAAACAATCTCAGTTATTTTACCGAATAATGTCAAGAGTTATACAAGTCATTTTTTGTCGTAACTATTGGCTTCGGCGGTTGTCATATTACAGCTTCAAAACTTAGAATGAGCTACTTTCTAAGAGCAGATAAGGCATCAAAATGAATGTCAGTGTGTGTGGATGCCGATTGCCGATACTCAGAAACTAATAAAAGAACAAAACTTGAGGTGTCCTATTTTCATGGGGATGTACTGCTATCTGCTGTGCTATGTTTTTATCTTCCGCTCCGATGTAGCAACCCTAAGCTTTCCCTTGTTCTGCATAAACTTGTATCTGAACCACTGTTCATACTTCAAGAAACATTGAGATAGAGAGCCATTTCCACAGCAGCCGACGCCCTTATTAATGAACAAATGTAGAGAGAGAGAGAGAGAGAGAGAGGTGTAGAATAACTAAAGTAAA